GAACTTTGATGATGACGCTGCAGCTACTGTCGGCTAATGAGAATGATTTCGCTCTTCGCTGATTCTCCCCGACACAAATGAGACAACGACTTAATGGCTAAGTTGATTATGTATTCGATTGTTACCAACTGGATAAACAAGTTTGACTTTTAAAACAGAACAGCACTCAATTTTACCAAACGGACTAGTAAGTTAGATATGCGCAGTTAGACTTGCGCAATGTTACACTTTAGACAGGTGCAACGCTTGTACGGCACCGGTGACGGGGAACTTACGTAAGTATACGCACAAGTATGACCGGGGAATATGATGGTTCCGGTAATTGTAAGTAGTTGTTCGTTGTATAGGAGATTTATAGAGGAATCGAAATAAGTCAGGCCAATTTGACGTATGTGTCCATTAGAAATATCAAGCGACCATAGTCTGGTTGGACGTTAGTCAAGTTTTGCAGACGAACAGGGGTTCCCAATAAAGCATTTTTTCAAACACTCTTTTCATACATACAGTATTTTTGATGATGGTTGAGGTTATGATGGGGGGGGTAACTATGATATTTGACGAGTCAACATCTGAACATCCAAAGGACCCCAATCCAACCACTTTAGCTGTTACGTTCTTTGCGTCCAAGCTGAAAAATTAAGCAATTATAAACTATGCGAAATAGCTTTACAAGACATAAAAATCATAACCATAAGTACCGACCACCGTTTCTATCATTAAAACAGCGATGACTTTAGTTTTGCCCATTTGAAATACAAGGGCAACTTCTATCTTGCGTGGATTCTTTATCTAGAGAAAGTCGGTGGAACTCGGCACATAGTGACCATGGGTGAGGTTTCGGCTCCAAGTAACTGAACACCCCAAAATGCAGTTGGTACCCAAGAAATAATTTGTCTAGCTTCCACACCAGAGCTAATGCGCTCCGATTCTTCTCCATTATGTAGTGCTGTAGTTCAGCGTTCCTGCAAAAACAAATCAAACGAATGTATCTACTACTGGGCTAGCTCTGCCTGTTTACGTGCGTTCCGTAAATAAATAAATAAACGGCTTATTTCTCGACAATGCGAGGCACAGTCCAACTGAGTGGTATTAGCTGTCTCTGTTCCCATTATGAAAAGCAGTTCAAAGCTTTTATCATCAAGGAATACAGCGTTAGTTACACAGTTAAACACATTAGACAATTCCTAATTTGCAACACTAGTCTACATGTCATTTCGCTTCCTGATCGCTTAGGGGTCTTGTAACGATTGTAGGTGAATATATGAAATTATTTATTTACTTGTAAGGAGCATTAACCTTTGTTTTTACCCGTTCGTCCAAGCAACTTACAAGTCAGTTAGACAAAGCTCCAATGCTGAAAAGCACTAGAGGATCGGTTCATCTTATTGAGACTCGTCAGTGACGCACATTCCTTTGGTACACTGCTGGGTGTCGAACGCTTGACCACCGCAGCTTATGCCACTGAGCCACGAGGGACGATAGCGGACCATCACTGATTGACACCTAGTTGTTATATTGCCCGACCAATCTTGCACTGCCATGCAGAGCACAGTCGTTTGCCATGCGGGCCAGAGCTTCTCTTGCCAGTGCTGTGAATCCACACGGCATTTTGAAGACCGATAGAGCTTAGTTTATGAAACCTAATGAGTAGGTGGATCAGTGCGTAAATTTATTTGGTTTATTGCAATTAGCTTACAAACCGCTCAGGTGTACTATCAATCCGGCAAAGCAATAGATGATCCT